TCTCGGCCAATGAGGTCCTGGTCGGGTATCTTTCCTCCTCCTTCGTGCGTCATGTGATCCACTTGGCCAATGACGTCTTGGTCGGGCGTGAACAACCCGTGGCTTTGTTTTGGGAAAGAAATACCTGGCTTAAATAAAAAAAATTAATTAAATCGCCCTTATCATGAGCGGCCGAGGTGACACTCTTGGTTTTAACACGTGGCGTTTGTCAAGCAGTTTATCGCTAATTGGACATGGCCTAAGAAAGAAATTTTCCTAGCCAACTTGGCGTCTCTAAAGCAAAAATAAAAATATTTCATTTCCTTCGGCCCATGTGTTGATAACAAAAAATCTTTATTCTCGCAGGGCAAAAGTCTATTCTGTCAAAAAGGAAAACTTAGCCAGTGAAAACTACTTGTGTGGAATTTTGATTCTCCACACCCAGTGAAGACTGTCTGTGTTTCTTCAATGTTCAACAATGGATTTCTTCTTTTTGGTGACATCCATTGATAACAAAATTCCATTTTTCGTGGACAAGCGGAAATCGGTCAACGCTTGTTCGTAGGTGAACTAGATATTTTCGACGTCTGATACCGATCAACAATAACCTTTTTCCTCCTCATTTCCGTCTCTTAAGCCGTGTGTGTGTGTGTTCGCCTATGACCCGTCTCGTATTACTTTTTCTTTCTTTCTTCTTCGTTTTCTCTTTCTTTCTCCCAAATCGCTTGAATGCAAAGAAAGAATTATTCTTAAAACCTAAAATATTTTTCGGCCTTAAATAATCCTCAAATGGTTGATAAACCGTAAAAAAGCAAATCATATATCTATAATTATTTCTTTCAAATCGTCAGGATGCATGGTGCCACACTGATCTCCATGTATATCTGGCAGCTAGATTTGAGTTGGTCAGTGTGTTCCTGCAGCCGCGTCCTGTCGTTGTGCATCATTACCTGTAAAATAGTTTATGTGCAAACAATGAAACATTTATAATATCATTCACTTTTTGCTTCCTATATTCAGATTTTGATAAGGGCTTGCAAATCATATCTTTTTGAATATCGTTGATATATTCGATAGTTTACATATTTAACGCCTTTACTAGGTTTTCAAATTTAGTTTTCTTCGTAGTAAAGTAAATGTCTCGATAAACACAAGCAAAATGAAATCACAACTTATTTGTTTACGTTAATGTTCACCCTGTAGAACGCCGGGGTGGCACTCGAGGTAGAGTGTAACGTTACGAGGCAATTTGTGCGCCTAGGAGAGGAAGTTAAGGGTTAAACCTAGATATGAACAGGTTAAGACTGTAATGATCCCGGAAACCTCAACTTCTGACGAAGCTTTTCTCACTAGATGAATATGGGGTGAATGTGCGCGGTTTGCTCTTATGTAAGTGGCATGCCGTCTCTTTGCCGTGAAGGTCTGAACTAGGGGAACCAGACAATATTGTTCGTACGAACCCTTTCCGTCGAAGTAGGGAGAGGCCCGCCTGTAAGGGAGAAATTGGAAAGACACGCACACACACACACACACACATATATATATATATATATATATATATATATATATATATATATATACACAAATTAATTACTTTATACATTATTTGTAGTCGATGCCTATTTTTCCTTTATTATATCGTTATTCTCCCGATACATAGAAAATATATTGCAAAAGTCTCGGTGTTTGAGTTCGATACGTTCTTAGTGAATAGAACAAAGCCGATTGTTGATAAGGAAATTATTTATGACTGAAGCTAACAGAAATGTTGGAGACTTGTAGAATTTACACCAGGACAGCGTTGGTTGAATTAATCCAGTGATTTGATTTAAAGAATTCTGAGTTCAGTACCTGACCACAACAGAGGTGTACAAAAACTTGAAGAGTTGAGTTACTAACGGGAAATAACTTAAACTGAGATATCCAGAAAAGGAATGGCAAGTGGAACTAGAAACATCTACCCCAGTGGACTAAATAAATCGGCCTGTTCGACATTTCGGTGCATAACACCGGAAGAAGCTGAAACGTCGGGAATATGGAAATGAAGTTGTCCGAATAATGTAAATAGTGTAAAAAGTTATAATAATTCATCTAAGAAATATAGAGAGGTTGACTTATCTAAATCACGACGGTTCTGTTTCTGCAGTGATATTGGAGAAAGTACCTGGATATTTGAAAATATTTCTTATACTTTTCTCAAACTAACAACATTCGATACCTCTATTCAAATACATAAAAGAAATAGTATTGTTCCATGCAAAAGACCATCTACGATGTATGACCAATATACATAATTAAAGAATCGTAGTTCATATATGGATATGCAGGCGGAACAACGGTTGCATCAATTGGGACCAGCAAGCCGAGATCAAATCCCGACTATATGTTGCATTCACTAATACCCTTGTGTTATTTTTAGGGAGAAGTGTATCTTATCTAAGACTTTCGGAGTTTGATCAGTTTAATTTGACATCAATGAAAAATCTCAGTACGGCTTTTTCTCTTGGCCGTCGATCGCCAATAATTTCGGTTCGGTAATGAAAAACTCCAACACAGAGAATTTTAACATATCTATTTTTATTAATCTGACATATACTAACTATCCAGTAACCCAATGAGGGTCGTTTCGCCTCACCGGGGAGCCGTTTCAGACACAAAAGAGAACACGTTTGCATTACTTGACGGTTAAGGCTTGACACGCTGAAAATCCGTCCCCTATCTATCATTCCCAAGCTAGCTCAGCCACTCAAAATCGACTACCTTATATCTTGTATCTGACACTGAATGTCAATCTCTGTAAGTCGGAGCTGAGATATACTTCCTCTAAAAATAATAGTGTGCTTAGGCAAGGATGTGTCTATTTGCGGCAATATTTATGGTTTACTAGTAGAGTAGATTTGACGCTCTAACCATAGTTGTTAAGAATCTAACAGAAAGAAAACACTGAATTCCCGACCGCCGTCGTCGTCGTAGGCACCGGCTCGCATCCGAGCATCAGGATCGACATCTTCTCTCTTTAATTCCTTTCTCCCGTCTAGTGGTAGTAACGGGGATGGCTGAGAATAGAAAGCAAAGTCAAACAGGGTTTGATTAGACATTTTCCGGGAATTTGATTTTGGTGGACAAAAGAAAATCCCACACCCATTGCCAGAAGCGTCTTCTTCGCGGCTCAATCCCGACTGTGGATAGGAAACGGGAAGCCAGCGTATTATCGTTCGTAATAATCCTTGACAGTTCAAAATATAGTAAATGATTGCATTAAATGATTTGTTCTCCACTGCTTATCCAATTATTTCCGGTTATTTAAAGCCAGAAAAAAGTGTTTTCATGTCCATTTCTTTATAAATTGGTAAATGACAAATATTGCATTACTTTTAATACAATTGTATTATTGTTTAGAATGTTGTAAATATAAAATTATTCTTATAAATAAACAAGCTAATAAACTGTGTTTAATATTTTTTGTTGTGAATTCTCAAGAAAAAATGAAAATGTATAAATTCATTTTCATCATATATTCAGGTTTTATTACAATTCTATTTATCGCTTTTTGAGACGATAAACATTGCCGAGGTGTAATAGTAGTTAAAATAATAGCGGTGTTAAAGGAATAACTGTCATATTGGCACTCCAAGATTTCCGATTTTTATGGGGGATTATAATGATTTAAAGATATGTCGTACTAATTATCCCATAGTTGGGGGAGAGGATGTAGATTCATACGTATCACAAAGGTATTTGCGTCTATGAATAATACAAACCCAGCTGGAATTTGAACTCGGCTCTTCGATTAATAATTCCGAGCCATTACCATTACACCAGCCGCACATAAAGGTTACAGCAATTGCTATTCTCAAGCGGTCACCCATTTAGGTTAAAGTGAATGAATCTATTGAGAGTCAGGATTGCCTACTTCCCGGTGGCAGGTAGAATTAAAAAGAAAAAATAAAGCGTTATCATGCAAGCAAAATATAGTGGTAAGATTTTAAAGGTGTTCAAAACAATTGTATTTTTTAGGCAATACTATTTGAAAAGTATGAGTAAGTCTTTATAGTAGTAATGGAATTAACGTCACCCAAAAAAATCATCTCAGATACTCCCCGCACTACCTCTGCCATAGGATTCTTCAAGATTTTTCTTTCTTCTTTTTTATTCATTCGAAGGTCTTAGAAGTAAGTGTGCAAAAGTTGATGCAAAGTTTTCAATATGAAAACCAAAAGGAAAAAAAACACACTCAGATGAAGATCCACAATTTAAAAAAAGTGATAAAAAAAATGTGTACATTATCTTTGGTTTCAAACGATCGATTCATTCAATACTTTGAGAATAAACAAAACTGATCACTCGTATCAAATATATACGCAACAAAAGCGATAACAATTCTGATATAGAGAATGACTCATTGCCCAAATATTGAACTACACAAGTCATCAAAGGTTTTCTTTCTTTCTTTTTTCTTTTGTATTTAACATTGATGTTGTGTCGAAATCGGCCATCCATCAAGTATCCAACTCAAGAGATGGAAATGCGATTAATGGCTTTTCGATCCCCAAGATCCATTTTTGGATCGTTCTGTCTGCACACCCTTGACGTCAGACTATTGCCCAGGGCCACACCTAATGTTTTCTGAAATCGTAATCAGACCGGATCGAAACTCTCAGACAAATGAAGAGGCTGGCACATAGCAACAAGAGGATAAAGTTAGAAAAAGAAGAGATAAAAACAAAAAGGTTTTACAAGTAAATACAGGAAAAAATAAAGACGTACATTAAAAGGGTAAGCAAAAGAAGAAGTTAATAAAGATGATCCTAATGGGTGGACAGTGGATTGGGTTGAAACGAAATGAGCAAAAACAAAGTAAGCGAGAATAAAGATTTGATAGAGAACTAAAATAAGACAAGATGATTGGGGAGATGATTCGAGATACGAATGGAAAGAAGTGAGCGGCGTATAGATTTGAAAATGGAAATGGAATGAGTGAAGTAAATAGAAGGATGAAACTAGAATTGAATGAATAATATTCAGCGAAGATAAGAGACTGGAAGGATAAGGGAGAAGACAGTAGAATAGAAAGAGGAAAGTAATAAAGATAAGAGAGCAGAATAGAAAGAAAAGATTAAACAGAAGGCTTGAATAGAAAGAGAATAAAAGGAAGAGATTTGAATAGAAAGAAGAGAATAAAGAGAATAGACTTGAATAGAAAGAGGAGAATAAAAGGTAGCGATCTGAACAGAAAGAGGAGAATAAAGAGAAGAGACTTGAATAGAAAGAGGAGAATAAAGAGAAGTGACTTGAATAGAAAGAGGAGAAGAAAGAACAAGATTTGAATAGAAAGGGGAGAATAAAGAGAAGACATTGAATTGAACGAGGAGAGGAAACGGAAGTGACTTGAATAGAAAGGGAATAACATTAAGAGCCTGAAACTGAATAAGGAATATGTAAGGAGAATAGAAAGAGAAGAAGTGCCTTCAATGGGAACAGTAGACTAAGGGAAAGAAAATTGACTGGAAAGAGATGGTTTTAAAGAGAAGAGAGTAGAATAGAAAGAGACAAATAAATAGAAGATAAGTGATTATAAAGAATCGAAGAAAAGAAACATACTTCAGTAAAGAGAAGAGGCTACAATGGAAAAGGAGACATTAAGCGATTAGAATAGAAAGAGTAAAGTAATAAAGAGAAAAGACGAAAATAGAAAGTGTAGGGACGTGAATGGGAAAAGGAGAGCAAGGTGAAGAGACTCGAATGAAAAGAGAAGTAGTAGATAACAACAGGAAGAGGAGTAAAGTTAAAAAAATACTTGAAAGAGAAAATAGAGAGTATAGACTTTCAAGAAAGTAAGGCTACTTGCATAAAGTAAGGCTACCCTAAGAGAGTCAAGATGGGAAGTACGATAGATAGTGGAGAGGAAAAAGAAGTAGATAAACTCAAAAGAGATTTGAAGAGAAAAATAGGAGTGGGAAAAGAAGACTCAAGAATGGAATGGTATAAGAGAAATTAATGGAAAAATTGAGAGTCAACTTAAAAGGAGTTAAGACTAGAATTAAAGGGACAGGGTAGGAGACAAGGGTGGCTATAGGAGAGTAAAAAGAAAAGTTTTGACGAGTATGTAAAGAAAAAGGTGAAGAGTGACTGAAAACGAAAGTGGAGAGTAAATATTAGACGTGATACCAAAATAGAAATATGGAGTGAAAAGTGGGGTAAAGTGGGTTTGGGAACGTTGTAAATTTATGGAAGATGGGAAATACAGGAAGAAATCGGAAAGCAAGAGAAAGTAAACTTCCAATTGATTCTCATCCGTGTTGTTTGTCATTCGGCTATAAATGGTTGTCTAGCAGTATCAGATATATATATATATAAAAAGAACGGAAAACTTGAGAGGAAATATAACACACATACACACACACACACGTGCGAGCTCATACAGACACGTAAAATAAACATAAATTTATAGTATCAAAGTTTAATTAGATATGAAAGATTTCGAGTCAAAAATTTACACGATGTCAACTATGAAAATTTACCACCAGAAACACGAGTTACATTACGACGAGTTAAATCTTTCTATGACCCAGGATAATCATTGTCGGATATAATCAGTCAATTATGTGAAATGCGGGATATACACTTAAGTGATCATGTATATTTTGATACATGATTGACGTAGGTTGCCATTTCTTTCTGCGGTAGGTCAGTTGCCATCCAAGGCTATAGAACCTGGCCTGTCCTGCTATTTATCCATAGCTGGTGGGAGAGAAGAGGATTCATACATTTCCCAATGTTATTAGCCCGTAAGTGAATGTGATGGATTCGATTGGAATTCGAACGCGGCTCTCCGATTCCTCAATCCGCTCCCCGATTCCTCAATCCGAGCCGCTATCCATTACACTAATAATACAATATAATCATACATGATAATCCAACTCACCTTCATTGCAAAAGTCTGTGAAACATTTTTTTTTTTTTTTTGTAAAATTTTACAACAGGAAAAGACGCACGTACAATTAATTCCTAAACTTAGTATGTGTTGCTGCTGGTGCATGCCGGTCTTTTGAAGATTAAAGCCAAACCCTCTTGCTAACGCATCCTAAGGCACATGTTTGTTCAAAATCCACATAGACACCTTGATGTTTTACTGCTGCTAATCTGAACGGATCCAAGTTACATTTTCTGGGTAAATATGCGTAACCTCGTGCGATCTGCAGTTTTTACAAGGCCAGTAAGGTCAAACCCACGCTCATGATGACTTGTGATGTGTGAATTTGTGGTGCGCAGTCATGGACTTCCATGAATTATTTTCCTCTTTCGAATTCAAATTACAAGATTTGAGTCTACCTGTATTATGGCTAACTGGCACTTCACCAAAATGATGCACGCTGGCATCGCGGATAAAATGAAAAAGTCACCTCCTTGACAGAAAGACAACAGTGTAATTCAAACACGGTTTATTATGGTCACTACACTAACACTCACGCATCCGCCCAATTATTCTGGAGAAATGTACTTAAATGGTATACAATTACATTAGAAAACTCGATTGGTTGAATTTTAAATAATGACTCGCACAAATTTACTTATATACTCGCGTATCATACGAATTTTGAAGAGCTAATTTTGCAGCTAATTTTAAGAGGGTCGTATCATATAAACGATATAAAATTAGCGTATGTACTGCTGGCTCTGGCTAAGCTGTTCAACAAACTATATATACATTTACATTAATCAAAATGTACAACTGTATTTAAAACAAATATGATTTTGATAATACCGATGTTTTGCTTAACTGTATGCAGTAATAATGCATGTCATAATCACATATTAATATCGTATTATAAAATACAAACATAGCGAATATGCCTCTTTTCATTGTTTAGTTTATAAGATGTTTTGCTGTTTCTCATTCGGTTGTTTATGGCTGTATGCAACGAGTATAAGGTTAGTAACGATACTTTGATCATTCTCTTTTAATTTTTCAACTTATTTAACTAGAAATAGGAAAAAGAGATAGAGGAAAAGAGATTGTAATTTGGTCTCTCGAAAACGAAATCACATGATATATAAGATGCATGATTAAATCATTTTTATAATTGAAAATTTGGTGGGTCACACGATACGCGAGATCGCACGTTACACGAGTATATCCGGTACTAAATTTTAGTCTGGCATAAGATCCAACATATGTTATGCATTTTGTTGCTGCTCAGAATTTTGATGTTTGGTGGACTTGTCTAATCTTAAAACATAAGTATTCCTCATTTATTTTTTGTTTTTTTTTTCTCAGTCCGAACTCTCTTTTTGTTTCACTTGTTACGATGTTCGTTGATTCGACGATGTAACAAACCTGGATGACAAATATATCGACCCTAATGTCAAATTTTGTGAAAAGACAGTCGGTGAAAATCTAACTCACTGCCCACCATTAATGGTCAAGCATAGTGTCCTTGTTAACTATTTAACCTACCGTGAAACGACATTATTACAATATCCCTTTAAGACCAGTGTAATATGAAACAAGTTGAAAAATAGGTTACGAAGATTGTGTTATGAATACTCAAGAGTGTTCTCCCCTTGTTTTGTTACACCCTTCTTGAGAGTGCTAAATCTGTTTACTGGGTCTATAAAAGAACACTATAAGCGAACTTTAACAGTTGCATAAATCTTTCTTACTTCTGTTATTACAGATTGTTTTGCACAAATCGCTTATGAGAATGAGCATATCTCATTCGATGAAGACTACCGTATTTTTAGTAATGTGCATCCTCATTTCCTGCCCCTTTGTTGTGGCCTTATCCCAGACAAACTCGCTGAAAACAACAATTCTCTAACATTGATGTATTCGTAATTGTGTGTTACATTGTCTAGGTTGTCAGGTGTCAGTTTATGCGTTTGTTTCTTTGCTTCTCGTTATAGACCCTACCACTGGGTTAGGTTGTGACACATGTTCGGTTATTTAACGTGGGGAAGCCGAATGCAACACTCTGGCCACTGGTCAAAGCTTACACAGTCTTCGCTCACGTGGAACGGACAAAGAGCTTGTCTTAGCAGGACACTGATGGTCAAGGCCACAGAACAGATACTACAATATGATCATAGTCTCACGACCGCGGATCACTTATTCCGTTGATTCTCTGCACATTTCTTCCTGATTTTAACTAGTCTCATAATTCTCTTTTTAGTAAAACAGTTCATTCTTTTCCCGAATTCCCTGCTACGTGTAATCCATTCCACTGATTAGACTACTTTTTGCGAACTTTCGTTTGTCAGTCTCCATCATCACTTTAGTATTTTCTTTCTTAGTGATTTTTTTTTTTAAATCATTTTTCGTTCTTTCGTTTATGTCTCATTTATATCTCCAACCTTTGTATTTATTGCACTGACTCCTCATTCGTTTTATTTATTTTTTTTCATTTTCTTTCAATGTTTATCCTATTCTAATTCTTCTGCTTGCTTCAACAGATTTATCTCTCTATTTTTTTTTCATTTATTTTCTTTCTTTTCTTCTTCATATATCTGGTTTATGATTCCATTTTTTGGTTGTTTTCACTCTTGCTTTTCATTCATTTCTTTTTCATTTTGATTCTCTTTCTCTCTACTCTCTTTTTCCTTATTTCTATTTTTATTATTTTTATTGGATACTCGTACTTTAGTAGACGCCTCGTTTATTTATTAAACAATATAATCATATATTTTCTTATACCGACCTAAATATTTGAGAAATCTTATTAGAAAAAAATATGCGTTCTCCGGCTGAAACTAGCGGAAACTTTCATTAGATATGACGCGCTTTGGACCTTTCTATTTGAATAGTGCCTTTATACTCATATATGTCTCTGTATCCACACAAATTAACTGTCGGGTTAATAAATAAAACACTCATCCCTTTGTTTACAATTTGCTTTGTTTACGTTAGGATACAAAATTGAGATGATATATGTATTTCGAGAGTCAGTGAAAAATCTGTGATTAAGGGCACTATTCAACTTTGCTTGACTATCAACGTAGCTGAGAGTTTCAAAGCTCGTCAGATCTAATGACGGCTTTCCGCTAGGGAAACGCAGGCTCTAATCATGCCGGAGAGCGAATAAGATTTCTCGAGTATTCAAGTCAGTAGACAAAAATAAATAAATATACCGTTTAATAAATAAACATGACGTCTATCAAAATAGAGGCGTATCGACAGGTTACGACAAACTTAATACTTGAACAAAACAGTTACTCTATTTACTGTGTCCTCAGTGAATAAAAAATGGTTGCTAAGACATTAGGTTTATAAGACCTAGAAATACATACACATATATCCTCAAGAACACATGGCCCAGTGGATAAAGACTTTGGTTAGATCCAGTGACTAGAACCAAAGAGTTGTGCGTAAAATGCCAGACCACAAATAAAATTAGGAAGATCGAAAATAGTTTTTAATCCAATATGTAATATCAGTCTCCCCTTGTGATAGGGGATGCTGGACAATATTCTTATGGATACTGAGGAGATTTGAGGCAATAGAGATGTGGTTGTACAGAAGGATTCGATAATACCATGGACGCAAAAGGATGAGAAAATATGTTTTAAGAAAAATGGAAAAAAAGGAAGAAATTGTAAAGATGTAACGAAATTGCCCGTATAAACAGCTATGTAGTAGGATAGCTATTACCTTGTAGTTCAGTCCACTTTTGTTTGTTACTTCTTAAATGGTCCTATTTTTATTACTTTGAATTGTTTCTGAAATACAACATAGGCTATTTCCATGATTATTCTGCTTTTCGTGGCAATTTTTTAATCGAAACAGTAGTCCGTCCACTGATAGATTTAATCACAACACCCTTCCGTTTCATGCCCTGGAAGTCATTACGAGAAATCTAAAACTGATGACTGCACATAACCAACCATCCGGAATGCAATTTTTTTTAATTCAATTGTTGATTAAGTGATTTTATATTTTTACGGCTTATCAACCCTTTGAGGGTTATTCAAATCCGAAATATATTTTAGATTTTGAGAATAACTTTTTATTTTAAAACTGATATGGTTTTAATATCTTTTTTTGAGGGCATGTAAAAACAATTATTTTCCCGATACAAGTCCTACTATTTAACACATAGATGTGGCGAAAAGGATGGATTGCTTTTAAGGGAATATAATGAACTATGCTGCAGATCTACTTACAAATTCAAACACACACAACAGACACACTACAGAAACTTCAATATATATATATATATATATATATATATATATATATATATATATATACTAGCAGCATGGCCAGGCGTTGCCCGTGCTTGATTCAAAAATCGTACGACTCATACAGCAATC